AGATTAATGGTTGCCAAGGCTTAAAGAGCGGATGCCGTGGGAGGGACATGGTGTGGCTGAAAAAGTGCAAAGTGAGAAATGCTTGTGATGATGGAAATGTTGTGTATCTTGACCATATCAACTTCAGTATCCTGACTGTGATTTGCAAGACATTACCATCGGGGAAGCTGGCTAAGTGGTTCACAGCATCTCCCTGTATTATTTCTTACAATTGTATGTCAGTCAACAGTTATCTCAAGATAAGAAGTTTAATTTTTAAAAATCGACTTTGGAGAATATATAGAACTTTAACGTTCACCATATACTTCAAAGAGCTCTTTGTTGGGGGCAGGGGGAGCATAACACAAAAATAAAAACAATATATTCCCTAAAAAATTTAAGAATAAAAATAAACAAATCTGCCTTGATTTTTAACTTTTCACATATCTTATTTCCCCAACTAGGGCAGGAACTACCTTTTTTTAATTCCAAGGTATTTAACGTAGAGTGCTGTATTAGTTTCAGGTATACAGTATAGTTATTCAACAATTCTCTACATTATTCGGTGCTCATCAAGATGTACTCTTAATCCCCCATTCCACCCATCCCCCACCCACTTCCCCTCTGCTAACCATCTGTTTGTTCTCTTTAGTTAAGAATCTGTTTTCTGGTTTGTCTCTTTTTTTGTTTTCCTTCGTTCATTCATTTTGTTTCTTAAATTCCACGTATGAGTGAAATCATATGGTATTTGTCTTTCTCTGCTTGGCTTATACATTATACTTTCTAGATCCATCCATGCTGTTGCAAACAGCAAGATTTCATTCTTTTTATGACTAAATAATATTCCATTGTGTATATATACCATCTCTTCCTTATTCACTCATTTGCGATGAGCTTCCCTCATCTATTGATGAACATTTGGGCTGCTTCCATAACTAGGCTCTCGTAAATAATGCTGCAATAAACATCAGGGTGCATGTATCTCTTTGAATTAGTGTTCTTATATTCCCTGGGTGTGATATCACCCAGTAGTGTGATTGCTGGATCATCGAGTAGTTCTATTTTTAATTTTTGGAGCAAACTCCATACGGACTGGGACTGTTTCTTAAACTTTCCTCATATTGTTCACAATTCCCAACATCATGATAGATACACAGCATAGCCTTGGTACATGTGTTTATGGAGTTGGGTGGGGGAGGTGTTGTTTTGTTTGCAGGAAAATACTCTTCAAGAAAGATATGGAGAATATATTTGTTTTCTTAAAAAGCTTTATACATTCTCTAGTAACTGCACTATAGTTATGCAAGAGAACATTCCTACTCTTCGAATATACACACTGAAATATTTAGGGGTAAAAAGTCACAATTTCTCCAACTTACTCTCAAAAGTACACGAAAAAAATAGGGAGAGAGAGAGAGAAAGCAAGAAAGCAAAAAAGCAAATGGGGAAAATTTTCAACAGTTGGTGAAGTGGTAAAGAAGGGTGTATAAAAGTTCCCTTGTACTATTCTTGGAAGTTTGCTGGAGATTTGAAATTATATAAAAATAAAAACTTACCCCAGGAAGTCAATATCTAGAAAGAAGTATACCCTAGAGTGAAAAGACCTATATTGCTATGCACTTAGAGAGCATGAGGGAAAACTTTTTTGAGTGCTGAGTTCCAGATGATGGATGAGGTGGTGAGCCATCCGTTGTTTCAGTAGGGAAAGAGCCCCAATGGTAAATGAATTTTCTCTCTGGGTAGGCTGGGTTTGGCTCTCAGACAAACTCATCAGTCAGGCTTTAAGGGGCTCTGGGAAAATCTCAGTGCACATGTTCGAGCACTCTCTAGGACTGCTTCTGGAAGCCCTGCCCTGAGACAGGTCCACCCTTGAGACACTGTCCTATGGAAAAGGAAGTCAGTGGAACAATGAGTTATAATTACAAGGGAGACGAGATGGCTGAGGGGCTGGGAAACAGCTGGCATCTCTTTGCTTCTGAAAGCAATTCAAGGTTGGCTCCCAAAACCTCAAACTCTGCCTTCTCTCCCCCCCGGGGCAAAGTCATCAGCAAACGCCAAAATGTATCAACTCATGTGCTCCAGCTCCTGTATGTTGATGGGAATGTGTAAGACAGAGACTAGCATCTGGGCACGTTCTGCAAATATCCTGGTGTTTCAGCTCCCCGCTGATGCAACCTACTGAACTCTTCCGTGGTGACCTATGAAGCCCAGGGTGGGTTTACTGTAAACTGGCAAAGAATTAAAGTCCAGAAGCTTCAAGGGAATGAACAGATGCTCAGAGAAAGCAGGGGAATGCTGAGGCCTGACCACAATTAAAAATGTCTGAGTCAAAAGTCAAGAAGTCATTCACATGCCAAGGGCCATTTCCTCCACCTCGCCCCCACCCCGCTACGCTGGAAGTCAACTCTCCACAGCGCATGGTGAGTCAGGCGTGAGTACTTTGATTACGGCTCAGCTGATGTCATTCAAGAAAGCAGGGGGGTCACCCACTGCATCAGAGGAAGAGACATTTGACTGAGACAGGTCCACCCTTCAACCCTCTGGGGAGCCTGACATTTCCAGGACACGGAAAACAAACTTCCTCTTAAGAAGGAATATGCTTTCAGTGTGGGAAAAAAAGAGAGAGAGAGAACCAGAGAGGGTCAATGCACGCTCACCCTTGGCTGAAAGCCCACAATCAGGGAAATTTCTGTCCTTTCAGAAAAGGTGAAAGCATCAAAATGTCCTCTGGTTCAGCGGCAGATCCAAGACGCTGCACGTACGCAGAGAGAAACTCAATCTTAGCTCAACAGGGTGGGCTGTGCCAAGTAACCTTCTAATTCCCTTTCAGCTGAGCTCTTTGTTCTCCCAAGAGTTAACACTTCATACACGGAACAAGTATCTACCAAGAGGCTACCTAGTGTTTGGCACCAGAACCATGCTCTGTGCTGGGGAGAGAGGATTCAGATAATCAAGAGGGCCAATGATATCAGCCACTGTTGTTGTTACAGCTAACACTGAGTTCTCTCTCTGTTCTGCCCCTTGTTTTACATGGATTATTTCTTTTGAACCTCCACAGTCTCCTGAGGCATGTACCACTATGTTTTCCACTTTATAAATGAGGAAACTGTGACACTAAAACTCTAATTTATCCAAAATCACACAGCAAGTGAGTGAAGGAGCCAAGGTTTGAGCGCAGTCTAGACGAGCACTATCCAATAGAACTTTCTACAGTGATCGAAATGTTCTTTATCACACTGTCCAATATGGTAGCCACTAGCCATATGTGGTAACTGAGTACTTGAGATGTGATTGGTGCAACTGAAAAACTGAATTTTAAATTCTCATTTAATTTGAATTAGCAAATTTAAATAGCTACCTGTTGCACCATATTGGACAGCACCGACCTAGACTTCTCAGAGCCAATGTACTTAACCATGTGCTAAAATGGCAATATGTAGGATCAACCCTCACCTTCTTTTAATCAATGGGAAGCCAGCTTACAATAAACACCAATGTCGTCCTTGATCATGTGCCTGAGGGAGTGTGTGAAGGAAAAGCATGGGTGGCACTTTGGCAGGACGAGAATGCAGGCACACCAACACTCTCCTGCAGGCACTAAAGGCACGTGTCTTTGGACATACTACAGGCATGTGTCTTACTTGTCAGCGATGTCCTCCTGCCACTCTTACCCCCCTCCAGCCATCAACAGCCTCCCTACAACTCGACCTGTGGTCCTGTAGCTGCGTCAGCTGGTCCTGAGAACACAAGCCCCAAGGACGCTCCTCCTTCTGACAGGCACTATGTTCAGCACTAAGGAGGATGCCAGAGAAAGATCTGGCCCTGACCACCTGCCCTCTAGTAGCTCATACTCTAAAAGTCAGGGATGTGCGTGCCTGAGCTCCGCAAGGTACATGGCAAGACAGTGTGAATGGATGCAGGATGAATTTGGGATGGGGGACATAGGACAATACATTTGGGCTCAGTGAACAGAGATAGTATTTTAGAGGAAGAGGGACTTGTGCTGAGCTGCAAAAGGAAATTAGAAAGAGGAGGGGCAATGACCTTGGAGGTGGAGTGGAAAGCATGAACACAGATCGGGGTGAGTGAGCACAGGGGTGGTGAGGGGCCTGCGAAGCCAGACTGAAGAGAACAGCAGTGCAGGATAAGCTTGCAAGGTCAGGCAGTGGGCAACACTCTGGTTAGGCCCTTCTCATTTCAACTCTGGGAGCTCTGTTAATAACAGCTTTGTTCTCAAAAAGCCAGAAAAGAACCTGAGTGATCATTTCAGCTGTCAGTGGGTCCCAACCTGAGAAATGTATTTAAATGTATACATTTCAGAGACCGACCCTAGGGCTTCTATGGCACAAGGGTGTGGACATGGGGTCTGTCTCATTCGGTTTTGTCTTATTTTGTGAACCAGTGAATGGGATCATTCTGATGCTTCTGAGCCCTCACGGACGTTTGATGAGGACAGATTTCAAGGAAGGACACACTCAGTTGTCAGAGGTGAAGGAGAATTTACGTCATTTTCAAAGGTGTCCAGGCAGAATGACCCAGACTCTCTGGGGAAGGCGTTCTGAGAGATTACAAGCTTGCCTGAGGGGGAGAGTCATGAGAGGCAGGGAAAGGAGAGTCTGTCAAAAAGCAGCGGCAACTTCAAGGGGCCACACTGGAAGTAAAGATTTCTTCACAGGAAATTCAAAACATTTTCTGATTCCTTCGGGGAGGAGGACGCTAAGGGGAGGCTTAGGGAGGAGCAGTGACTTATCCAAGTTCAAACCACCCTCAGGCCACAAACAGCAGATGAAAATGGGTGCCCAGCCTTCGGACCAGTGACCATTACCCAGCTTTGTCTCCTCTCTTCAGCCCCACCCCAGACAGAGCCGACCTCTTCCCTCGGCACTGATTCCGGAGTGCCACCCAAAGCAAAACACAAAACGCTTTTTTTTTATAAAACCTTCTTTGGGCTATTTTCATTAAACCATTTTACTTGACAGCAGTTCTTTATTAAAAAGCAGGCACTTACCTTTTGAGGGCAGTGTCCTTTGTTGTATTATCTCAGTATTTTCCAAAGACTCAAGGAGATCCAGGGGAAGATAAGCCTCTGCCAACAAGATAAATGTTAGCATTTATTAAAGGGGAAAAAAAAAAAAATGAAGTCCCTCGGTGTTTGCTGCCCCTGTGGGAAGAAAGTAGAAGCGAATCCTGTTTTCACTCTGAATTTCCTCCTGGTGAACTCAGGTCCTGTTCATTTTTGGCCTCTCAGCTGAGTCATCATATTTCCCTCCCTCTCTTTTTAAACAGTACCTACTCCTGAAGGCCCCATTCGCTCAGCCAGCTCTGGTGTTCCGATGTGTGTCAGATTCAGAGATAGATAAAATGCAAAAACGTTACTCCTCTTTCTACTCGTGGTCAGCGCTGTCCTGGGCACACCTAGCATGCTGGGCACCTCTCTGAGGCCAAGTGCCTTGGAAGGATAGAGAAGGCGGGCCCCAGACATCCACAGGCATGATAACCAAGCCTTCCATTCTCCTGGGAGGTGCCACGCGCCATTCCCCAGGGGTGCCCCCAATCCCTACATGTGCCCCCCCCCTTGTGACCACTTTATAGAGCAGAAAGAACCGTGGAGGGGTTGAAATCTTAAAGGACTTTCAGCTAGCCCCATCATTGTGTGAATGAGAACTGCGGGTCAAGGATTTTAAGTGCTCTGCTAAAGATCACACTCTTATTTAGTGGCAGATAAGGAATCAACCTCAGGTCTCCCAAGGTTGTACAAAGAGCTATTTGTTCCCTATTATCACTTGGGAAGACTGCATTAGGTTTTGGTCCTGACTTTGAGATTGACTTCCTGTGCTGTTGAGGCTCTCCATGCTTCACTTCCCTTGTCTGGGAAATCAGGACTAAAATGTCTACTCAACACACCTCACAGAGATGCTGGGAAAATCCAATGGCACCATGAAAATGAAAGTGTCCTGAAAATGGGACAGCACGATTTTTTCGTTTTTAAGGTCCTTTTTCCCACCTCAGGCTTATCTTCTCACAACCTCCAAAAAAAGAGAGTAGTGATTTTTATGCCATTTTTGAAAAAAAAAAAAAAATAGCCTCTCAGAAAAATCCTGAGGCAGGAGGACACATGTGGAGCTCATCTCAGAGGCAGGTTGTTTTTTATCTGATGGTAATCCCCCAGTTGTGAATATTTTTGACAACAAGTTGGCTCACGGGACAGAGGATATGGCTGGGTGTGTGGGAAGGGGTTACCCCACGTAGATCATTAGTCACAACAGGGCCTTTTAGGAAATCATCCAACATACAAGAGTATGTAGAACGTAGGAAGCTCATTCCTCCTTTTCAAGCTGCTTTTTAAGTTGGTGACAGAACATGATGGAAACAAAGGAAAGTGCTCTGCCAGTCACAATCTCCATCCCAGAAATTAAGGCCCAAGGTATTTCTGATGATGTTTTGTTTGTTTCCTTCCCTTTCGGTCTAGAAAATAACTAAAATCAAAAGTAAGGATTCCTAAGAGGCATTCTGATAGGCATGTGGGACCAGGGGCAGTGTTAGAAGGTAGAGAATAGGCCATCCTAAATGACATGTGGGCTACACTGTCCTAAGCCCTCTCTCCCCAGGCCCTCCCAGACCAATGCCAGCCTCACAGTAGTAGAGCATTTGATGTTTTTAAGTAAATAACCATTTCTCTAGGCTTTTAGTAGAGCCCGGGTATGCAATCCATTTCTTTGGAACCAGAGTTTTATGTAGTGTTTTATTATTTTTCCCTTGTAAGTTTTTCTCCCCCAAAGAAGAGTACTTTCCAACCATAGCCCTTAGGTATTTTGAAATCTTGTACTCATACTGGCTGTCACATAACCTCAGTTCAAACACCAATCTTTTTCTAAAAGCAAATATGCATAAATACTAAAATTGAATTGGTTCTTCTGTGAGGCATATTCCAACACCATCCTAGAGACTCCGGGTCACAGGAAGAGGGTGGAACTCAGGGCTTTGCAGAGTTGGTCTGTGTGTAGATCGGGATAAGTTAGGTTATGCCACAATGACAAAAAATGCCTCCAAAATCTCAGTGGCTTAACAGAACAAAAGTTTGCTTCTTATTAACTTTGATTCCATTCTGCCTAGAGCCCCTTGGCCAGATCTACTTATGTAGCCCCAACCTAATACTTGGGGAGCTATGACTGTGACTGCCACTGGGAATAGTTTTCTAAAGTCTCCAGGGACTTAGGAGAAAGAATACTGCTCTGAAGGCCGAGGCTCCACTCCCAGATCTTGGGGGTCTCTGCTGCAATTCTTCCAAGTATGGTACCCAGAGAGCCCATATTTTCCACACCTGTAAATTGGGATTTGTATCACATGGCTATGCATCTAGCTGCTGGGTTACCAGCTGGTGAGACATGACAAGTTCCATCGACCCACATGTGACTTCTGAACTGCTGTTTCCTCATGTCTCGAATGATTCGATCACACTATTGTCCTTCAAGGTCCACCCCAGCATATGTTATGAATCCACCAGAGAATGTCTCTTACCAAAGACATGTACCAAGACTAGGTTGGCACCCTCAGGCGGATATGGAAACGTCTCTCAGTGTGAGACAGAGCTGTTCTGTGGCACAAGTCAAGCTCACCGTTTTGCTTGGATGGCGGGCTTGCGGAGACCATTTGCCAACCTAACAGAATGGGGTCAGCGGTTCATGGCAACTCCAATCCTTTGGAGATGTTGGGAGATTTTTTGTTGGTTTTGACACCTAATAAAAAGCAATTTCCTCTTTTCAAAATGTACTCCCTCCCCCCCCCCCCCCCATTTTGGAAGGTTAGTGGGTTTTGGTTTACATTTAGTTTTTGTTTTTCAAACTAAAAGAGCATCATCTCTTAAGGCTAAAGATATGGGTAACACAAAGGACACGTAGACCAACCCATTTCACACCATAAGACAAGAGCAGAGCAAGAGGTAAAACCCACTGCCCTGGGATGGGCCTCATCCCCAGGCAGGAAATCATTCTTGGATCAAAACTCTTGCCAAATGGTCGGTGATGAATGAGTGTTAATAGGTCCCAAACATGGATTTCATATCCTTTTGAACACATGAAAAAAAAGAAGACTTGTAGAGTAGATTTTGGCCCAATCTAGCCCATTAAAAAAAAAAAAAGCTAGTTGAGACATAACCCTGAACCAATCCAGGGGACAGCTCCTCTCTGGCACCTACTGGGAGGAGAGCAAATTTACCTTTTCTGGAAAGGGGATTAAGGGCAGGTATAAGGAGAGGGCAGTGGCACACTGGCCAGCTCCCCTTCCTTAAAAGCTATCGGCTAGTGGCTATCTCTAGACTAGACAGTGAACAGCTCATACACCATGCTGTACCCGCACTGAGTTCTCCCCACCACCCTATCACACAGGCCCCTAAAGAAACATTTGCCTACCAACAAGGCCAGCCTGGAATGGGAGAGAGAAAATCAGCAGTAGTCTCACCCCCTTGCCTGGCAATGTGAATACCCCCCAGGTGTGTCTAAAGGGCAAGCTGCTTAAGTCACTTCCTTCTCTGTTGCCCCAAGTAACAACTTGCCATCCAGGACAGCAAAGTTCCTTCCCAGAGGTTTGGAGGGACATCCAGGCTGACACAGTTGTACCTTAGGAGCCTTGAAAATATCCCAAAAGTTGCACAATAGCAGTAACTGAGAGATCAGTGCTCCTCCTTTGCCCAAATAAGCTGTGATGTTACAGTAAGGAAGGGATCTTACATTCTACCACGCTTGATGATTTAAAATCACTTCCTCAAACAGATCTCAGCGGATTTTCACAACAAACCTTGAGGGCCGGGGAGTGGGGGGTAGGGGAATACAGAGATTATCATTTTCATTTTAAGACATGGAACCTGCAACTCATAACATTTTGAGTGGCCAGCCAGCCTTGCCCAGTGCTCCCAGGACGCTCCCAGGTGCTGAGTGCTTCAGCTAGGTCTTCAGCTTGGACGTTCTAGTTACAGATCCAAGTTCCTCTGCTGTTTGTTTGGCATTCACATAGATCTTGGGTGGGAGGTCATGAACATGACTCCCCTACTGAGAAAGTAGGACCTCAAAATCAAGGTTTACCCACAAGTTCCATAAATAGAGGCCAGTCCTTTGTATGTCAGTGAGACAGGCAGCCTGGAAATAATTAGGAGAAGGAAACTGAATACAGAACGATCCAGGTCCTTAGCTCACATCCAACCATTGGCCAGGAGGATGTTCTGGCTACTCAATGACTCTACCCTAGTGGGAGGTCCAGCTGATATCCAACCCACACCTGGACCGTCCTGGTTGTGGAGGACCATTTGGGGGCAACGGGGCTCCCTGTCAGGGTCAGATGCTCCAGGACTCTCTCAATCAGCAGTCTGTTTTCCCAGATATCCACAATACTGAGACCCCAGGGCACATCAGCTCACAGGATTTGACTGGTGGCAACTGCCCAAGAAGTCCCCCCGGGCCTTGGAGCTCCCCTTCCAACAACAGTCCATCAGCCTCAATAGCACATAGTCATAGAGCTAGCCAAAAGTGCACAGACACTCACTTCAACTGCTCTTACTTGGGAGGAAAGACCCACTTGAGGAAAAACATGCAACTGTGCTGACTAAAAGTGAATTAGCTGGTTATCTGGAAAAAACACACAACTCATATGGAAAGACACAAAGAATGCTTCTTTTTGCATGAAGCTTCGATGCTCACAAGGACACACTCAGGTATCATCACACTGGATGCCACAATACTCTGTGGAGTGCAGGGACATGAGTTCCAGAAAGATGGGGGTGCCTGGATGGCTCAGACGGTTAAGAGTCTGCCTTTGGTTCAGGTCACGATCCCAGGGTCCTGAGATCGATCCCCATATCAGGCTTCCTGATCAACAAGGAGTCTGCTTCTCCCTCTGCCTCTCCCCCCTGCTCTTGCTCTCTCTTTCTCTCTCTTTCTCTCAAATAAACAATATCTCTAAAAACAAAAAAAAGGATAGATTTGCCCCTGGTTCCACAGCTGGCTCACAGTCGAGCTAGCACAAGAATTTGAGAGTCTTAACTCTCCCTTCAGCCCCCTTTCCTTGTATCACTCACTCACGTCCATGTATCCACTCAACAGCAAGGTGCTGAGACCCATTAAAGAACTCTTCATTGGCACAAAGACCTCCCGAGGATGGGCTTTCCGACCGACTGGACTCCCCTGCTTTGCCATCAGGTGTGGACGGAGAATGTTCAGTTACACTCCTGCCTGGATACTCCCTTTTTCTTTCCCTGTCTGCTCCCATCCCTCACCCTCATTAAAACTTTCCCTTCAAAAGGTCTATAATTGAACAAATTTCTGACCGGAATAAAAACAGGAGCTCTCAAACCAAGGGATAAATCTAATATAGAATGATTTTTTTCTCGTTGTATGATGTAGAACATACCATTTAGCTCTCCGTTACCTGCTTTCAGCTAGGCAAGGCAGAAAATGTACCATCAAGAACTAAAGATCAATAAGAAGCTGATATCCATTCAGGCCCCTCTAGTGTAGTTGCACTAGCTATTAAGATATTTAAATGTTTCCCTAAAGGTAGTTTTTTTGTTTTGTTTTTTCAAAGATTTATTTATTTATTTCAGTAATCTCTACACCCAGCGTGAAGCTCAAACTCACAACCCCAAGATCAAGTCACATTCTCCACCCATCAAACCAACTAGGCGCCCTCCCAAAGGTACTTTTTTTAAAAGCCTGGTAAATTGCCACTTCTCTGACCTCCCCCCAAAACCTCCCCAGCATCACCCACACTTCCCATGATTCAGCCAGTAAAGGTTTACCTGCTGAACCTGAGGAGGCTCAGGAACCTGCTCAGCACAAGGTCACATCCTTTCTGATTGGTTGATGTGAGGACACAGGACAGACCCAAAAAAATCATCATCATCATCATCATTACCATCATCATCATCATCACCATCATCTTCACCCCCACCATCATCATCATCACCACCACCATCATCATCATCACCATCATCATTATCATCATCATTTGATAAATCAGAAAAATAAAGTCTAAGAGGAAGAAGCAGCTTTAAGCCAAATCACAGGGTGCCAGAGCTCAGCAAGGTAGTTGCTACATTGCTGAATTGCCGCAAAACCCTGGGTCATAAAGTCATTTCCACAAAACCACAAAAGCTTTTCTTTAAACATGTCACCTCCCCCATTCAGAAACATTCAACTACCCTCTATTTCCTGTTGCGTTTGGTTTTGTTTTTAGCTTCTCCACCTGCCCCCTCAGCCTATTCCCTCGCAGGTCTTAGACTGAACCCTTGCTGTTGCTGGGCTAATTCCCATACTGGCCGCCCTCAACCCCATCCCTGAGCCTTGCTCTGTCCTTCTGTCCTTCAAGGTAAAGTTCATGTGCAACTTCTCCAAGAAGCTTTGCTCTGCCACCCAGTGCTCCCTGGGTCCTCTCTCCTTTGCGTTCCTACAGCACCTACAATTTGGATAATATAAGCTTACCCTCCCTTGTACTGTGTTTCTCTAATTTCATGCATGTTGATCACTTCTCCTCAGTTACACCAGAAGGTCAAGAATCAATCCTTGACCTTATTCTAGAACCTCCCCCCCCCCTGCCCAGCACTGGTAAAAAGCTAACAACTTAAAAATGACATGGTAACTGCTGCCCCTTGAAGCAATGCTTAAAATCTAGCCTCATCAGTCTGCAGGGGGCCCCTGGCTGAAATGCTTCCACAGCACTGGGGCAGATCTTCCAAGACACAGTGGACATTTTCCATATCCCAGAGCATACTCTTCGCATTGTTTAATCCCCACTCCAAACTCACAAACTGCTAGAAGATCCTAAAACCTGTTTTTAAAACCCCAGTGGCTACAGAAACCACCAACTCTGTTGACAGTCTTTGCCTAAAGCAGAATAAATATGTGCATAAACTCACTGAGTGTGTAACTGGTCAGGGGGAGAAAGACAAGATCTGCCTTTTCGGTTCCTGACAAAATAATTAGTACCTCATTCCCACCTTCCCATCAAGAAGGGGGAAGGGAGCAAAGGAGGCCAACTTTCTTTCTTTTTTTTTTTTAAGCCATAGAGGCTCAGAAGAGGAAAGCTCTCCTCCACAGCCAAGAAAATGAGGCCTAAGACTGTCTCTGTGCCTCCCTTTAGGGAAGGGCTTGTGTTTGTTCTCAGCCAGTCTGAGACAAGAAAAAGGATGACTACCCAGGTTAAGTTGAAGTTGACGACCTCAAAATGTCACACAGTAATAAGAACAGCCTACCTTCAAGACCCCAAATCATAAAAGGAAAGGTGGGGGAGGGGTAAGAATGCCAGGAAGTAATTGCACTCCCATTAAAAGGGTCCCCTTAGAAATGGGGAAAGCTACTCAGGGGAGAGATCCTAGCACCTCAGTGAGCTGCCTCTGAGTAACCTGAGAAACCCATTAAAAGTCAGACACCGGGCCCCACCCCAGGGATTCTGACTCAACGGTTCTGAAGGAAGGTTCAGAAACCTGCATTTTTAACAAGCTCCCCAGAACACCGCTCCCAGAAATACTATACTAACGAAAGGAAAAATAGAAAGATCAGGAGGTTCCATGTTACAGAGAACACTAAGGTAGTCAGAGAATTTAGGAGTCCAAGCGACTTGCAGAGAGGTATTAACAAGATGAGTCACATATTCACATAGATGCCGGGCTGGTCTTCAGCGTGAATGCACCTGTGTGAACCCACAGCCAAACCCAGCGCACCAGGGCTTTCTCTCTCAAAGCCGTCATGATTGGCATTGAGGCCATGCTGTGCCGGCTGTTAGACACTGTGCATTGTCATCATTGCGTGGATACAGGAAAACCAACCAAATATCAGCAAAAAGAGATCTCAAAACCATATAAGAGCCTCTCTTTGGAAAAATGACAGATATGCAGAGCAGAAGTTATACAACGTTCAAAGGAGCTTTTGTTTCTTTTCATCCTTGCTTTGGCCGAAATATTGGGTAATTTATGAAAAGTGAAAGAAAGCAGCATATGTGACAATGTTGCTGTCTAAAAACGGGAGTAAATCTCCTGGCATATTGCTTTCCTCCATTCTCTGTGTTTGAAGTGAATCCAGCCACCAGGGATTCATTCACTAAGAAATCAGACTGTTCTTTGACTTACCCCAAAACCTGGCCCTTCTCACAATGATGGAGCTGTCCCAGTGCATGCCCCCCCCCCCCCCCCCCCTTGTTTTTTTCCCCCCCCCTGCTCTTCCGCCCCTACTCTGATCTGACCCACCCTTAATCACCATGGGTCTGGTTATCTAAACATCACTGGGTTTTGGAGAAATTACACGACAGAAGCCAAATAGATAAATAAACTCTGATCTTAGACCTCAACTAGATGATGCTTACTACTCCCATGGGGATGTTTATCTTGGAGAAGTGCAACTTCAGATCTGGGTTCATTATCTGCGGAGGCTGCCAAATCAGTCCATGGTAAGGCTGGGGGGAAAGGACGAGTGGGGACGGTTCTAGTCCAGTGCTCAGGTTGGACAGGCCCAATAAATAACATCTCCCCTACTTGCCTGGGTTCTGGTCCAATTGAGAAATGAGACAAAAACCTGTCCTTGGTGGGACACAAAATTATCACCTTGATTACTGTTATAACTGATAAACATGATGGTAGAGGATGCAACTTTTAAAGATTTTACTTATTTGACAGAGAGAGAGCGCACAAGCAGGGGAGCAGCAGTCAGAAGGAGAAGCAGGCTCCCCACTGAGCCAGGACCCCGATGCGGAAATCGATCCCAGGACCCTGGGATCATGACCAGAACCAAAGGCAGATGCTTAATGGACTGAGCCACCCAGGCGCCCCATCTCTCTCTCTTTTTTAAAAGATTTTATTTATGTATTTATTTATTTTTTTTTAAAGATTTTATTTATTTATTTGTCAGAGAGAGAGAAAGCACAAGAAGGGGGAGCGGCAGGCAGAGGGAGAAGCAGACTCCCGCTGAGTGAGGAGCCCGATGCGGGACTCAATCCCAGGACCCTGGGATCATGACCTGAGCCGAAGGCAGATGCTTCACCAACTGAGTCACCCAGGCGTCTCGAGGATGCGACTTTTAAAAAAGGAACAAATGGACTTCCTCGGCCCAGATCCTAGAATCATCCAGGTTTGACTAGCCAGTCACCCAGAAAAGACTCTCTTGGTTTTAGCACTGAAAGCCCCACAGCCTGGGCAAACAGACATGATGGGTCACCCCAGCTGGGCCCCGGGGCTGTTGGGCAGACTGCGCCCAACAACCTGGGCAGAAGAGCAGATTGCACTTCCCGTGGACAGCTCCTTCTCATGAGGAAGGAGAAAGGAAGGCCGAGGCTATGGCGCCCAATTTCTCCTTCCAACCTCACCAATCAAAGTCAATAGAGGACAAGAGTGTTAAATGGATGGGTCCCTCAAATCACAGAAGGAAACATCTGGAGTGGGAAAAATACATACTTTCTAGCACCACAGATAATCAATAAGACCAACACAAATTAACACTCAGCAATCTAAGAAGACCTAATTGAAAGTCTGAACTACAGACGCATTTGAAAAGAAACCTAACTTTGTGAGCTTCATACAATTCAACTTAAGCTCTAAAAGTATCGTTCACTGATAATGGTAATGTTTAATAAAGCTTACGTGATGTGAAGATGGCCTGTGGTTGATAAGACCATGCAACTGGTTCCTGCGATTGATTTGTGAGCAGAATATGTGAGGTCTCCTGTGTGAGCATTCAATCTCCACTGTGTGGCTAGTCAGAGCACGCTTTCCACCTGGCCAAGGTCATCAGAAATGTTCCAGATCATCGCGATCGCTCTGGATGAAGACAGCCATGATGTGGGGGCAGGGTCCCCGACAGACCTGTAATGGACAAGCGACAGGAGGGAGAAACACTTATCTGCAGTTTTATACTATCACAACTCAGCTGTGCTTATGATAATAAGCCTATCATAACCAAGCCTATCCTGACTGATACAATGTGTCATGGCAACTACCTAAAACATGAATAGAAACAAGGTTGGAGGGAGACGTTAACGGTGATTGCTTCTCTTACATAGGATTTCAGGTCTTTAATTTCTGCCCCTTTACACATTTTTATACTTCCAAGTTTGTTTTATTGAGCTTTTTAAATTTGTGATTCAAAAATTTCAACAAAAACAGATGCCTTTAGACTACCTGCTTTCAAAAAAATACAGTGGAATGCTTTATAAGCATTCTATCCTTGTTTATATGCAAACCATATGTCATGATGCTACTTTGAATCTGAATTTTCATTCTTATTTAAATTCAGCTCAAAATTCTGTTCTGTGTCTCACATATAAAGAAATACCTTCCAAAAAACTTCCCAAGATCTCTATAAAACATAAAATGTTTTGGTTGCTAAGGAATGCTAAAGCTACTTAGCTAGTTAAGTATACTGTCCAACAGATACAGTGACAACCACTGTGTACCCAGACGACCGTTCTGTTTTTTACTTGCAGCACAGTATTCGCTAAATTACATGAGATATTCAACATTGTATTATAAAATAGACTTTGGGTGAGATGATTTTACCCAACTGTAGGCTAATGTGAGTGTTCTGAGCACATTAAAGGTCGGTTAGGTTGACCTATAATGTAAGGTAGGTTAGGTGTATTAAATGCGGTTTTGATTTACAATATTTTCAACTTATGATGGGTTCATCAGGGCATAAACCCATCGTAAATCAAGGAAGATCTGTACATGTAAATCAAACCATCATGCTGTGCATCTCCCTCTTTCTCCTGTGTGATATGTACGAGGAGAGAGGAGGAGAGGGAGAGGTATCTCTGAAGAGTGGAAACTACAATTATTGGCTCCAGAGCAGACTGTTCAAAAAGGTGGCAGCCAGGGTCATGAGGATCTCAACAAAGCCACATGGCAAGTACAAGGGAAACTGCTGGAAGTATTCTACTACTGAACACTATACACATGTTTTGTTTTGTTTTTTTAAGATTTTATTTGAGAGAAAGGGAGACAAAGATAGCAAGATAGAGCACAAGGCGGGAGGAGAGGGAGAAGCAGACACTCCCTGCCAAGCAGGGAGCCCAATGCAGGACTCGATCCCAGCACCCTGAGATCATGACCCGAGCCAAAGGCAGACGCTTAACGACTGAGCCACCCAGGCGTCCCATGTACAGGTACCTTTCTTATTCAAGAGTATTGGGCCTGCAATGCTCCTTGGCAATATTTTTTAACTTATTTTTTTTAATTGAGTTAGAACTGAAATATAACATGGTATTCATTTTAGGTGTACAACCTAATGATTGCATATATGTACAAATATATCAAATGATTACCACATGACCACCATAGTAAGTTAACATCTATCTTTTAAGATCTACCTTCTGAGCAACTTTCAAATGTACGACACAGCTCTGTTACTGCTGTCACCGGGCTGTCGGTTACATCCCCAGGACTCATTCATTGGATACTGGAAGGTGTTTCATTTTCTAAGTCTCAGTGGTTTCTCTCCCATGGATCCTCTGCAGTTGTTCTCTCAAATCCACTCTACCCTCTCAAACCTGGGAGCCAGCATTCCTTCCTAAAAGGTGAGGGTGACTTTTGCATCCAAGAGAAGGTAACCAAGCGGAGCTGCAGAGTCGAGTTTGGGCCACGGATTATAAAAAGTTAGCCAGAGGGCGCCTGGGTGGCTCTGTTGGTTAAGCGACTGCCTTCGGCTCAGGTCATGATCCTGGAGTCCTGGGATCGAGTCCCACATCGGGCTCCCTGCTTGGCAGGGAGTCTGCTTCACCCTCTGACCCTCTTCCCTCTCGTGCTTTCTATCTCTCATTCTCTCTCTCTCTCAAATAAATAAATAAAATCTTTAAAAAAATAAAAATAAAAATAAAAAAATAAAAAAAATAAAAAAAAGTTAGCCAGAGAAAGCCCTGATGAGGAAGTGCCAGTTCGCCTTCAATGAACCAGACCATGCCAGCAATGAGGGCCACTCACTTTAGCATCCCAGAGACCTGGATTTAAGCTCTATCGCTACAGCTGCGTGGATGCATAACTTCAGACCAGTGAGAAATCATACTGAGCCTCAGTTTTCCCATCTATAAAAATAACACAGTACCCGCCCCGTTTTCAGATTAAAAACAATAATGCAGGGACGCCTGGGTGGCTCAGTAATGACTGAGCATCTGCCTTCGGCTCAGGTCATGATCTCAGGGTCCTGGGATCGAGCCCCGTGTCGGGCTCCCTGCTTCTCCCTCTCCCTCTGCCATTCCCCTCTCTTGTGCTTCTCTCTCTCTCTCTCTCTGTCTCAAATAAATAAAATCTTTAAAAAAATAAAAATAAAAACAATAATGCATATAAAACGCTTAGCACAGCTCCGAGAACACAGTAAGCGTCTAGTATATGTTAACAGCTGTTACCTATCTTTTAAAAAGCTGTTCCATAACATTAATGTTTAAATACAGGTGTCAATAAATATTATCTGCAACTATCATTATTGCCGTGCTGAATATGCCTTTTTTAAGTTTTTTTTTTTTAAAGAGGAAAAGCCATTTGCCATTTTCTCAAATCCTACTGTGACTGTTCTTTGGTTTGAATCCCATAGGTATGTCTGAGGCACCACCACATCTGGGAGGGAGAATCCAAAACTACAACCTGCCCTCCTGCCTGCCTTCCCTCCTTCCATGCTCTCTTCCATCCTTCCTCCTTTCCCTTTTCCCTTTTGTTCTTTTGTTTGCACGGTGAAAAACACCATACTTCTTGAAAGATTGAAAATGAAATCGCAGTGAAAGCAAGCTTGCAAAAGTGCTTGAGCGAGTCTGAGAGCATTTTTTTTTTTTTTTGGCTTGGATGTCATAAGCATTCTTTTTTCAGTCTTTTTCATACTATATATCCAGATTCTTCCTAAAGAATAGATTTGCTAAAAAACTAACATGGCAGACCAGCCCCCTTTAAATCTCACAACTTTCCAATGATTCAGGCAGAACTGACTAGCTTTGACAGACAATGCAAATTGCACTCAGATCATTTATTTCAACACATTTTTATTGAGCACTCGGGTGATCTGTGCAGGGAAGATTTGTGAATTGTTGGTCCTCCTGATATAGAAACGGTTTCCTCTAACACATTGAGATAGGTGGCTTCAGAAGCCCGTTGTTACCTGACAAAGAAAAGGGTAAACGTCCCAGGTCAGAGTGAGCAGAGGGAGAGGTAGGTACTCCCGGAAGGTGGAACATACCGGTTTATGACGACATCTTGACCAAGAAAGCTTACCAGTTAAAAACATCAAACAGGAGTAGAGAGACACTGTGTGGCTAGAGGCAAGCTTTCCTACCTTATAATTAGACACCCCACATGGCCATAATCATTCAAGAAGATTCTCCTTCCAGTCTCATCTTCCTCTCTCCTACCTAGAAATTTATGAAACATCAGAGCTACAAGGCACCTCAGAGCTTGACCACCAAAAACACCATTATCACTGGTAGTAGGAACACTGGCGACAGTGTTTTAATGCAGACAGCATGATAACCTAACTGATGACTTTGGTCTGACTCACCAGGTGTTCTCTAGAAAGGATGTCCTTCACAACCAAACACTACCTCTGGGTAGCATGCAATAGCACTACTGCATGGTTATGACCTGATTTGGCCAACAGCAAAGAGCCTTTTGCTTTCTTTAACTTGTGTGGCCATACCACAGGTAGGCTGTGATTCCTAGGAGTCTTTGTTAAATACTGAAAAAAATCTCATGGATCTGTGAACACCTCAGAGCCCACAGTAAATGTCATTTACTAGTTTAAGTCTGTCATTTGATGGATAAGCAAATTACCTAAGGTCACATAGCCCATAAGAAAGTCAGGCCCTAGTCCCTCATCTGGTGACTTTTCTGCTGTACCGCATCCACACAGGAAAGAATGAATATTCAAACAAAACACCACCCTGAAGAAGCAGCCAATTTCAAATGGATGCACAAAGGTGTTCCAACATCCATCAATCAGCCCTTGGAGAATTTTTTGAATAGCAAAATAGCCCTAGAGAAACAGACCCTCAGTGAAGGCTTGCCTGGAGGCTTGCCAGAAATTTCTGGGCAAACAGACCTAAGTACAGCTCCCCTTGAACTGGCCTGACCCCTGACTGTCAGGGACAGTGGACTCCGGAACTCGGCTTTGCTGTTACTAAACCTAACACAGCGTGTTGGCCAGGGCACCTATAGATGCTCTGACAACTCCAGCCACCTCTACATTCTCTGTGTCCTTGCCCCTGTTGTAACCCTCCTCAAAGGACTGATGCTTCAATACCCAGCCAAGCTACAGGAAGCAGTTAGCTTGGTCCAAAACAAACTTTGTAGCAGCTCATTAACCCTTCCGTATCAGTCCAGGGTAATCTGGACTCACCCAAAGTGAGATGTGGGGGTGGACAGGGGAATACTTCATATTTCAAACTCATTACTTTCATCCTCTAGATAAATTTTCAAAGCCTACCACCAGTCAGACCCCCTCAACATGAAGCTCACTTTAGAAAACAGATGCAAATTTATATGTAAGTACTGCTTTTGTTTGTGGGGGGAGGGGCATGCCTTCTGTATTTGTAGGGTTTTTTGGGTTTGGGTTTTTGATAGATGGGAAGGGAGAGAGAGGAGCAGAAAGGAAATGGAGAAAGGCCTTGAAGGAGCCCAGAAACATAAACATGGACGGTTGTGCCTTAAGATAAACAGGAACTAACTTGTATGATGCTTGTAAACAGTGACCCAGGCAGGGATCAGTTTGTGTCCATGATTATGATTAAATGAGGTGTCTACTTTGGCCTCACTCCGCATATTGAAGAGTGATTCTTTGTACAACTCAGTAGCAAGAAAACAAACAATCCAATTAAAAAATGGGCAGAGGA